TTTAAATCATATTTAAATAGCTCTCTCACTTTGATAGGGCATATTGAGAATATAATGGTAAATTACTAAAGTGAGAGAGCTATTTAAATATGAATTAAACTATAATTATTAAATTATTATTAGTTTAAACGATAGTATATCATAGTGTCTCTATAAAAAATTAATAAAAAATTAATATTTTATAATTTTAAAAATTATAAGCTCTCGCTTTCAGTGTGCCCAGTGTGCCAAAAAGTCAGTCCCCATTACTAACATTTACATTACATTTACATGAGACATTACTAGCTACCATTATATTATAATTTATTATTATAAAAGCTCTATAATAAAAAATATTAAACTTTAGTATATTCTACGGCACTTACCCCGGTTAACATCCTGGTTAATTCAATATTATTTTTCATCTATTTCTTAAAATTATCGGAATCCCTAGTACTGGGTCTATACTAACTTGTAAGTCATATAAAATTATTAATATTTAAATAAATATTAATTAATTTTTGGAAATATTAAATCCGTAAACTTGTAATGATGTTGTTATACACTGTATAATATTATATACAGTATTAATGTCATTATTATGTTAATAACAATAAAATTTACTTTTTAACTTACAATTTGTGACACAATTTGACCGATAATTGTCTTCGGTATTATTTGCGGACAAAATTGCAATTATTGTTTCGGGCAGTAATTGTAAGCCTTTTGAATGACTCGTTTACTGGCGGCGTATCCCGACTGCAGTCGACTCGTGTAGTCGTCGGCCGTAGCCTGCGGTGACGTACCGGTGATGGCGTCGTGATGTGTCATCACTGCCACCTCATTACTCGCCTCATCCATGTAGGCCCTGGTGTTCAGGGGGTCTAATCGGGCCAATACTGACAACTGTTTGCTCGCCTATTATAAGATTATAATTTTTTTATGAATAAAAAATAATTTAAACTGTAATTAAAATTTAATATAATATCAAATAAAACTTATAAATTGTTTGTATTATTTATGGTTTATGTATAGGATAATTTTCAAACAACTTTTCTACATTTATAACTAATACCTGCACAATACTGTATTAAAATAAATTTTAAAAAAATAATTCATTTGATTTAAATCTAATTTTAATAACACAAGTTGTTGTCTAATAACTTATCCATCTTAGATTTATAAAGCAAAATAATCTTTTGGTGTATATTATACACAGTATAATGAAATATGGTTAATTAGTTTTTTCTATAATAAAATTTTCAAAAATAATTATATTTGCCAAACTAATATTTAGAAAAGCTAAATTAATATTTTATATAAATATTATGTCATAATATAAATTATTATATAATATTGTATAAATTTATGTTTTATATTATAATAATAAATATTTATAAATATTATTACTAGTTACTTCACTGACCTGGAGTATATTATTCGTAATCCTATCCTGGTATTTCAGTGCCGGTCTGTTAGAATAATACCCCACCCAATAGGACAGGTAGTCGACCGCCCTTTCCTCAAACGTAATGTTCAGCTCATTAACGGCTTTCACGTAACAATTAGGCGTTGAGTACATGAGGTTCACCTCCGGGTGCCGGGCCTTCGCCTCCTTCACCATGCGATCCATGCTCTCGAACCACGTATTCGCTGTCTTATACTCGAAGTCCATACCCATAGTGACCAACACGTGGTTTGTGTTTCCGTAGGCCTTATTCCAGTTGTTGGCGTTATTTATGAAATCCTTGACCTTTTGCTCGGCGTTCCCATCGGTGACGGCGTTTTGACCATTTTCAAAGTCAAACCCATTGGGAGAGTTGTAGTGCAGGTGCAGTACGGTTGAGAAGATCTTGGTGTTTAGGTCCCGGGAGGCGTCCCATATAAACTCACCGTTTTCCACCGGTTTCCCCCATATGCTAGGCCCCCGGTTGACAACGTGGGCGTCGAACCCCATTTGGGCGTATAATGAGGGCATTTCCAGGGAGGCGCCAAAGGGGTCAATTTGCCAGGATACTTTTGGGTGAGCGCACTGACCGAATGTTTGGTTTAGAAATTTTAACCCTGGTTAATGTTTTGAGAATTGTTAACTGTTAATTATATATTATTATATGTAACATAATAAAAAATTTGTCATATTTTATATGTTTATTGTTATTTTGATACAACAATAGCCACTAATAATTTAGTAAATTGTGTTGTAATATTTGAAAGTCATTTATAAATTTATTTACAGTGTTATAATTTATTTTACTTATATGTAGAAACTGTTAAATTAAAATCTGTAAAATTTGTAAGAAATTAAATTATTTATATAAATTAAGTTGACCACAAAAACGCTGTTTACTTTATTAATTTTATAAAATAATAATTCAAATAATTTATAGCTAATCTGTGATAAGGTTAATTGTTTAATATTTATAGCGGCTACGTATTTATAAATTAATTATTAATATTTATAATATCAAAAATTAAGAATCAAAAACTGTAATATTAAAATCTTTATAAGTTATAAGTTTTGAAATTATAAATAAAAATTAAGTTTGGCATTATGTGACACAATAAAGTATTATTTTTTTAAAATATTAATTAAAATAATCTATAGTTAACATAAATATTTGTTATAAAGTAACTTCTACTAACTACCATACTAACTTCTATGGTTCAATATTTAATATTTATAACATACCCATGGTCAACTGGTCAATAATATTATTATAATGAGCGGCACCCTCATCATTCACAGTCCACCCACCATTCGTGAACACCAACCGGCCCTCAGCCACCAGTTTCCTAACCACATCCCGGCGCTCATCGGTCTGTCCACTCCACCACCGGTTGAAATAATAAATTTCCACCTGGGTGAACCTACGCTCAGCATTTTTCTCCAGTTCCTTCACCACATTCGTGATGATCTGATTGATAGCGTTGTCATAATATCCGTCCGCCGTCTCCATCCATCCCACGTCGTCGTGGGAGTGGGCGATGAGATGTATGTTCAGCTTTTTGGGGTCAGTCTGCGGACAGGCATCATAGCCACACTTTCCCGATACCCCGCCCCATAGGCCTGCGCCTATGCATAGGCTAAATAGGAGTAGCGTATAAATCATGATAATTTTCACAAGCTAACTTTTATTAATTTCAAATTTAAATTAATTAAACTAAAAAATTAATAAATAAAAAATAAATATTAAAATTAATTAATATTATATATATTATTTTGTATGAATAAATTTTTTTATCATTATTGTATAAGTATAATGCACTTGAGGTCATATTTATTAGATTACCAGGTACCAGGACATTGGGTTACATTGTGAACATTAATCCCTTAGGTATTCGATAAAAGTTTTAATTAATTTAACCTTACATGTAATGTACACTGAATAATACTGTGCATAATAACACAGGTATGCACAATAATAGGACTGTATCAGGTGCAACAATATTACGTTAATATCTGTGCCATAAACATTATCTACAAGTATTATTGGTAGGGGAATTATATTGAAAGGGGTAGGGGAGCGTTTTAGTAGTATATCAAAATTATACACTTCCAGATCACTTTCATCTATTGGAGTGTGTCCTTGGTGAATTTAATTGTTTAACAACAGAGATTTTTAATTTATAGTATTGTGTGTTTAAGCATTAATAGTGATAGTGGCAATTAAATACTTTATATCACTAAGGTTACTAACTACTAACTCATTTTATTGCTGACAACTAATTATTAAAATGGTTTATATTGATGGTTTAGTATTATAAATTAGATGTTATTAATATTATAGTCTGGCGATTTAGTACATTATGTATATAATTTTTTGAATACCCTATAGATTGTGAGATAACCTCGATGCACTAAAATTTCTAATATATTATATGTCAACAATTTATCTTGAAGCTTTTAGATAGATTGTCTAACCAATACACAATAATTTTTAATATAAATTTTATACGCGATTATGCTGTAATACTGTATTATGCTCTAAATGACAATAAAATAAATATAACCTTCGTTAGGATTTTAATTTTATCATGTGTTACTTAATTATTTTATCAAGAAACATTATCAGTAAGTAAGTGAAAACTTGTAACAAGGATCTTTCAATAGTGTACCGGTTTGTACCCAAAAGCACAATTCTATTGAAATGACTCATTTAACAAGAATCTCTAATTCTCTAGTAATTCCAGGAACTAGCTCAATTTATTAATCAATATAATATAAATATATAAATATACATCCTTAACACAGTAAAAGATAAAATAGCAAATGTATCATTCAGAATTTTTAATAATTAAAACGTGAAACTAATTTAAAATACTGTAAGGATTATGCAGCAATTTATAATAATTTTTAAAATGTTTTACAATGTTTTTGAGCTATAGGAAATAGTGAATTTTTAAGGCAAATTGATATTATTTTTATTTAATGGATAGTTTATTATATCAAAACTGTATTTAATATTTATATTTAACAGACAATAACATAAATTATATAATAATTATATCTTGAAGTTCATAAAAATTAAGTTTAAAATTTTTAAAATTAGTATCTTTTATCAATATACTTTCTTTTCGGTTGCTTAAGGTTTAGCCTTATTAAGTGACATTTATTATGTATCGTATAAATAAAATATTTAAAAAATAAGCTATAACTTTTTTTTTGAATTTGATGAATAAAAATATCTTGTCAATAAAATTCGAATTTAAAATAATTATTTGTTCCAAGATTAATTTGTTTGATTTTCATTAAAATGTTTAAATATTGTTTTGAGTTAACTCTAACTAGTTTTCCAATATTTAAAACTACTTTCATTTATTAGGCAATTATGATAACTTGGTGATCGCATGTAATTTACAGTATGTGTTTTACATTATAAAGGTACAGCATAATTATAAAATTTATAAAGCAACCGAAACTGTAAATTAAAAGTAAATCTTATTTATTTGAATTTAAAAATATACTCTCATTGTATAAATAATGGCAATAAATACTATAATCACATTATTTTAACATTGATTTAGGCGATTAACGATCGACGTTGACGATCATTTGAAATAATAACTTTTTATAAAATATGAAACTATATTTAATTTACAGGTTGCTTTAATAAATAATTTAATTTATTTTTAATACGACTGAAAATAGTTTTAATCTCTTATACAAGAAAATTATTTTATATTTTACTACAAATTATAATTACTGTATTTAAAATTAGAAATATTATTGAGTGGTTTATTTAATTAATACTACTGTTTTGATAATTTGTTAAATATTAAAATATAATTTTGGCATTTGAAAACATAGACCACAATAATAATTTTATAACACTAGTAACGATAATAATAATTTATTTAAAATATAAAAAAATATAATTTAATAAACTTTAATTTTATTTTTATTAAATTTGTCACAATATGCATGAAAATATTCTTAATTAATTTAACTTTTAAATTGTTTTGTATAGATTAAATACTATAAAGCTAAAAACTTTTATTTTAATACGTTTAGCAAACTGTACAAAATGAGAATAATCATGGTTATAATTGATTTTAAAATTAAAATATTGGAAGAAATTAAAGACGGGACTGACTTTTTGGCACACTGGGCACACTGGTACACCGGGCACACTGAAAGCGAGAGAGCTTATAATTTTTAAAATTATTATAAAATATTAATTTTTTATTAATTTTTATAGAGACACTATGATATTGTAAGCAAGCTATAATTTATGATTATTAATTTGCTGTTATGTATAAATAAATAAGCATGTCAACGCACCGCTTTTATTTAAAAATGTAATATGCTATTTTAGTTAATTTTGTCATTCATTGATTGCTTATGTAATGGTCTTATGATTCAATTTTTGGCAATATTATTTTAAAATAAGTAT